TATTGAACGAACCCCAGATTTGTTCTTTAAGGGATAAAACCAAATATATTTAGTACAGTGATCAATAAAAATAACATAGTATTTAAATTGATCAAACGAGGGGACTGGGAAAGTCCAAACATCAGAAAAAATAACTTCTAATGGGTGGGATGACACATGAAACGGAAGTTTGTGACTTTTATTACACTGGCAAGAATCACAATTAAAATCTATAGGAGATACATGATTTATTTGAGAGGAAAATTTAGATAATATATGACGAAAAACTGCTTGAGACGGATGACCGAGACGCGAATGCCATTGGTGGGACGGAACTTTAACACTGGAGTAGACACGAACAGGAGAAGCAGCAGAAGGCCATTCATATAGACCATCTTTAGCCCGACCGTGCAGGAGGGGTGCCCCCATGGTGAGATCCTTGACACAAAAGGAAGATGGTGAGAATTCAACAGAGGCATTATTATGAAGACAAAATTGAGACACAGAAATAAGATTTTTGTGAATAGTAGGAACATATAATAGATTTTTTAAATGAAATGAACGAGAGGAGGAAGATAGGGTGCCTGAACCCGTAAAAGTTATAGGAAGACTGCTACCATTTCCAACGACGACCTCATCAGTTCCCGAATAAGGAGTATGTAGAGACAGATTATCCAGGTCGGATTTCAAGTGATGTGTGGCCCCACTATCAAAAATCCAAGGTGAGGAAGGAGCCGGTCCAAGGAGGCCACTACCCGCGGCAGTATGCGCCTGAGGAGATGACCAGGCAGGGCGAGGAGTGGGCTGCCACGGAGTAGAAGATTCACGTGAGACTGACCAAGAGGGTGGCGGGACAGACCAGTTGGGCGGAGGTGCACCTGCAGTGGCAGTGAGACGGAAAAGAGGGCAGGCTCGGGCAGTGTGGCCTTGAGTCCGACAAGCCTGACATGTTCCAAGATAGGGCCTGGAGGAGGTGTTAGATGAAGACTGGTGTCCAGGGGAAGAGCCACGACCAGAAGAGAATTGGTGCCGGCCACCACGGCCGCGAGATCCAGACTGGGAAGGGACGCGAACAACATTAGCCGTTATGGGCGTAGGAGAAGAATCGGATTCCTGAAGTAGTTTAAGTTCACGATTAATAAGCTTTTCATGAAGCTCAGTAAAAGTGATACATGTTTCACGCCCTTCCACAGCATCAATGGTTGGTTTGTAGCTCTCTTCGAGACCAGCAACAATGGTGTCAATGAGGTCTTCGTGATCCAATGGTTTGCCCAAAAGAGCCAATTCGTCGGCAGCAGTTTTGATGAAGTGCATGTATTCAGTAATAGTCTTGGAACCTTTGGTGTATTTTTTTTAGTTGAGATTTCAGTTGCTTGATATGCCCACGGGAAGGTTGAGCATAAACAGAAGAGTGTTCCAAGCATCCTGGGTGGTGTTGGCACGTGTGATGAGAGAAACCACCGGGGAGGTGAGTGTACCGATAAGAGCTCCAAATAGGAGTTTATCCTGACGTATCCATGAAGTATGCGCCGGATTTGGAGCACGAGCAGCATCAACAATAATAGTAGCAGGCGGGCACGGGTGGGAGCCGTCAAGGTATCCTTCAAGATTATAACCTGTGAGAATGGAGCGGATTTGTAATTGCCAGGAGATGTAATTAGTGGGAGATAGTTTAATTACATTCCCGAGATTCACAGAGATGAGGGGCTTGTGAGGTTCAGAGGTATTTGGAATTCGAATATCATTAGAGGTTTGATCAGATGTGGTGTCAACATCCTGAGGAGAAGGCATGGTGGTGATGGCTGGGAGAGAACTTCGAAAAAAAATGGGGAATCAGATCGTAGTCTCTGATACCATGATAGAGTAGAATTGAATTGATTAACTCTCGTAATGATTACAAGCTGTACGAGTGTATTATATACACCTTAACATGATAGAGCTTCACATAACTACCTAGCTAATATTGGGGAGTAAGCTACAGACTAGCTACTGCCTAGGAGCTAAAGTTTACATTGAATAAATATGTTACACGTAACAATATAATTTGTACATGAATAAATAATGTTATTATTTATTGCCAATATGAACACCCTGTTAGGTTACGTCCATCTATACATCACTCCATACAAGAAACCACTTGTAACTGTTTGACTTCGCACGTCCTTAGGTTTGTATCGGAGCTCTCGAGACAACCATCACCAATTGCTCAAAAAACGACAGGTCCTAGAAAAAATCTGTCTATAACTTCTATGTTGTCGTTTGACTGTTTGGAACAAGACGAAACATTAGTTGCATGATCAGTCAAAGTAGCCCAAAGCTTAAGAACTTCATTTGGGAAAATCATATTCACCTTCTTAGTGACTTGAACTCAAAAGCTCTATGTGAGAATGATCTTAAGTGCCGGAGACTTGGACCACTCAATTATGATTTATGAGGTCTTGCTCATTCTTTTATTTGACTATTTGCGTGAGTAGGAATAGGAAGGACTTTTGAGATGGAAGAGGATGCTACCATGTAGAAGGAAATGTTTTGGACAAATGTACTATTCATTTAATTATTACGGAGTATGTCTTTAAATAGTGTAACAAAAAAAAGCAAATACAAAAAAAGCAAATACAAAAGGATCTTAAGATCAGGAAAAGATTACTACAAATATTCGAAAGATCTGTACTTTAGTTAAGAATATTATATCAAACTTAATGTGATTTATCTCCATCATATTATCCTCCCTTTTTTTTTTCATTTTCTTGTCATGTGGGAAGAGGTACCATACCAGTAGCACATTCAATTCAATCAACATCTACCTATGATTCTATATATATAGGGAGTATATAGTTTAATAAGGAAACTGAAATACAGAGAAATACAATGTGCATGCATTGCAGAATGGCAGAGGTTATCTGCAAAGTTGGTCCATCGCTCGTGTCCTCCCTGAATGAATGAAGGCAGCACCAACTCATGTGGGCCCAAATCCTACCTGAACTCTGATTTACCTTACCTGCCCTTGCTTTTCATTACCTTTTCTAAACCCACAAGCCATTTGCTGACCGCTAACTTTATGCTTCAATTATTCACCGCTCCAGATTACCCACACCAGTTTTAATAATCTAGGTAACACTCACAAGCACAGCCCGTAACTTTTCAGCCAACTTTATGCCTTGCTATCTTCTTTCTCGGTTTATCCCTCAATTTTTTATCAAATAAGTATTACCTCCGTCCCAAATTGAGTTGCAATTTTGTTTTTTCTTGATCAAACGGATTCGTTTTGTTCACTTAATTAGGGTGTCAATTTTTAATTATATTCCATTTTGGAGTTTACAACTTTGAAGAGATTTCAATGTAGTTTATGAATATGTAAATTTTAATTATTAAAAATTGAATTTATTATCAATAAGAAGGTTTGACTTTTATTATGGGTTGACCAAAAAATGTTGACTTTGCAAAATAATTTGGGACGGAGAGAGTATTTTTTTATCTCATGCGTTGAATTGTGTAATAATAATAAAAATGGAATTATTTTTCTAGTTGTATTAACTGAAATTATTGTAGAGTATCACTTTAACTGTCTTTGAAAAGCCATGCACATTGTGTCGAGATATTGTTAGGTTTAAGGATGTTTTTACTTGAATTGTAATTTGCTGATCTGGTCTGATTTCTTTGTATTTTTATAACTACCCCAGTTTAGTCTGGTCTGGGACAGATTACGTCCAAGTAAAAACATCCTAATTGATTTTATAATTTATTTTTTATCGTCAAACTAAGCTTTAAAGTCGTGTTTACTTCGCTGCCAAAATCACAGTTAAGTTAGTAAGACAGTTGAAGTGAACACACAAACTATTTACAAAGCTGCTTACTAAGCATTTCATCCCTTATGTATTAATTAAGAGGCATTTTAAAAATGTAGGGTTGGAATTGGGGGTAGGGGTAGGGGGCGGGGTAGGGTTAGGGTATGGGTACGCGTGCAGGTGCCCCCGTGTATTATATGTATATAATTGTGTGCACGAAGGTTTGTGTGTCAATATATGTACAGGGTTATTTTAGATATTTTAACGTTAAACGATGTTTTAAATCCTATGAAGTAAACGTGAGCATATAAGATATAACACTGTTTTTTTACGTGTCACTTATTAACGCAAATCTTAATAAGCATCACTTAGTAGCCTATGAAGTAAACGTGTCATAAGAATAGAAATCAACCCGTGCTTTTAGAGTATCTATTCATTTTTAACTTCAAAATTTAAAAAGTTTGTAGTACTTCTTTCCATCCGGTGCTAACTAAGGATGGACTGGGACGGGTCAGCACGATCCATGCCCGCCCCCGGCACTGTTTAGTCTCGGCCCGGTCCTCTTTAGGCCCGAAGCCCGGCTCAGTCCTCTTTAGGCCCGGAGCCTGGCTCGATCCCGGTCTGCTGTCTATAAGGGCGGGCTTCGGGTTCGTTTTTTAGGCCCAACCCAGCCAGGCCCAATCCGGTTTTGGGCCCAATTGCACTATTTTTTTTTTAATTTTCTACCCAAACCCATTCTAATCCGGTCCCGACCCCGTACTGTGTAGGACCGGCCCGGACCAGACCTGGGCCGGTTCCGGGCTTGAAATTTTAGTCCCAATCCCGGCCCGGTCCATTCCTAGTGCTAACGGTGTAAAAGCAAATTGCACGTTTCTTGCTATAGTACTATAGTACTCCGATCCGTAGTAATGTAGTAGTGTAAAACATCAGATTATATATTGTTTAATGATTTAATCCTAAAAGTAATGTTTCATTCTCTTTTTAAAGAAACAATATTGTGCTTTAGATATTTTTTTATTCCCCGAATAAATCTTTTACAGTTTCACTACGTAAAAAACAGTCATTGTTATCAGTAGAATTGTGAAGTAAAATGAAGAGTCTTTTTCCAACGATAGATGGAGGAAATGATATCTTTGGGAGTTGGGAGTGAACTAATTCCATGGTATGAATGAATGGAATTTTATGCACACCAAATTACAAAGTTATGACCAAATCATTTATAATGAAATCTATATGTACTTCATAATAGTATAATACTCCGTAGAAGATTACTATAAAGAGGGCAGAGGTTCACTTTATACTTCATAGTACACCAAGTACGTATTTTACAAACTTACAATCCTTATAGCACATAGTACATGAACTATATATTCTCTGATATATCTATCCATCTAGTACAATTAGATTCTCCTCAATTTTAACATTAGTTGTCAATACATTCAGGCCAGGGTGAAAATCCTGCCTTCTTGGCATGACCTCAAATAATGTGTGAGTGTGTAAATAATCTTCTAGCTCTAACTTCAGGACGTACTTAATTATTATAATACAAAATTATCAATAATGTGTTGAATAACATCAGCTCCATCAGAATTTATACAATACAGTTGTACCTGGAATGTTAAGCAGCAAAGCAAGTGTTAAATTACCAGCTTAAAATTTAATTTGCATGCTACTAATTACTAATTAGTACATAAATCAAATAAAAATGTACTGTTAACTAAGTAGAGCAATGATGATGAGCAAGACCTGAATGGTGTTGTGTGCAAAGAATCTTTGTTTACTTCCCCGAAAGCTAACATCCACACGATCCCAGCTCATTTTTGTTAAGCCCTTGAGCATGGTCTCTTCATTTCAAATGACAGAAACCACACAGTAAATTTACGCACAACTTTGATCAATCTGGTGCGCAGCGGCGGACGCAGGAATTTCCGCTAGGAGGGGCGACATTGTAAAAATATACATACAAATACATATATATTAAAATTTCGGGGTAAATATACATAGGAAAATAAAATTTTGGGGGGACAACTGCCCCCATTTGCCCCCATGCTCGGTCCGCCACTGCTGGTGCGTGTTTTTCAATTAGAGCAACTTAGGGGTGGAGGCGGACTTCCGCAATTGAGACCCCCACGGTTACTCTTGTCACATAAACTAGTAATGTGCACGGTTCGATTCTTCCATCTTATGATCGGACCGACCGGTTCCTGTCCGGGCTTCAGTCCAGGCCCGTGGGCAGAGTTAGAGAAAGGCCATAACAGGCCTGACCCACCCCATATTTGGTCATTTTAACTATTTGAATATTAAGGATGTTTTCTTTTGGACTGTTTTCAGTCCCAGACCAGACCAGACCAGACTTAAACAGACCAGTCCAGATTTAAACAGACCGGACCAGACCAGACCAGACTTCCGTAGTTATAAAATACTCAGAGACTAGACGTTTACCAGACCAAACCAGACCAGTTCAGACCAGACTAGACTTAAACAGACCAGACCATCAAATTTCAGTCCAAAAGAAAACATCCTAACTCTAGCAAAATTTGGTTAAAAGGCAGTTGAAATGAGCTCCAGCTCGTCTTAATCCAATCCAACTATTCCCTATTATATACTACCTCTGTCCCATTTATATTGGGACAGAAGAGGGTGACACAGTTATTAAGAAAAGTGGGTTTGTGTGGTTGAGATTAATTGATAAAGTAAGAATGATTAAGAGCCACACAAACTTTGCTAAATATGGTATGGGACACAAACTTTACTTGAGAAACCGGCAACCCGTGGGTCCGTAACTGGACCATTGTATCCACCAGTCACCAATACTGCGACTAGCATATTTTTTCCATCTCATCTACTTTGAAATTTTAAGAGGTCCAACAAAAAAACTTGAATTAGCGGCCGTAGAAACGGTTAATATGCTCCTAAGTGGTTGTTAAACATTTAAAAGAAGATAAGCTTAGAGAGTTTCTCACCTTCCAAATAAGTATACTTGTTTGCTTTACTTGTCCCCACAGATCCGTTTCTTTGAGAGGTACTAGTCGTGTTTGCTGGTTCTAGATTTACAATGTGTGGATACTTTTCAACTCTTTTCAGATTCTTACCCTGTCAGCGATAGATGCATTAAGTTTCTTGGACATTTAGAATAAGCTAGTACACAACTTACATTTCACTGATACATACCAAACAGCACTTAGCATGATTTATACATATACCTTTGGAGGAAGTTCACTTCTTGACCGTATTGATGATGTACTCCAGCCTACTACATCTATGGACTGTTAAGGCTTTTTGCAATTATGCATAGTATATTGAATGGAGGTATTAAAGTATTTATGTCACACCTAGCATAAAATATTACAATTATATATAAAGATTGTAAATATACTTTCCTTCATATTAGCCTTTTTAAGATTGAACAAGTATTAATATGGTACCATAGCAAGATATACAGAACGATTGTTTGTTTCACACTCATGATTTTGCATAGCTTAATCAAGATCAATTTGGTTAAATTATGTACGTATAAAGTTGTTCGACTCGATTTGGGACGGCCGGACGGACAAAGTATCAAACTTTACACAGATACTATGTATATAAAATTATGTGATCTACTCCAATTTAATAGTATTGCAATGGCTGAACTTAGACATACGGCAAAATAGTCGTGTTAAACTAATGAAAAACGTCAAGAAAATATAAAAGGAAACTAGGAAAGGGATAAGGAGTTATTTATCAGCTAGTGTTGCTTAACATTGAAAAGATCGATAATGTTTAGGAGATAATTTACTCAATGCTTATCAACAGATTTAATAAAGATAATAATAATGTTGTTTCTTGATAATACCCATGAACCTTGAGTCTCTTCGTTACTAGGTGATCTAGTATGAGTAGATCATGAACATAAAGAAATTGAATAGCATTATACAAAAACGTTATTGTTGAAAGAAGAGGTTAAAAGTAAGAAAGTGACTGACTATAAAGTAGGAGTAAGTAGTACACAGATTATAAAAACAAAGGATACAGTCAAAATGTATATTTGCATAAGCCACACGACGCTTGAATGCTTCCAAAGCCGATCTAATAGGGGATGCCATATGGCCCATATGTAAGAAATAAATTACAACCTTGAATTGATATAATTGCTAGAAGAGTAGAAGATATGCAATTAATTCCATGACAAATTAAAGTTACAAAACGGAATTTTATCAATTCAACACCTGAAAGATAGATAACCTATCAATCCGGGATCTGAAAGATGAAATGTGTCGGTATATGATCCAAATGATTGACAACTATCAATCTAGGACTTAAAATTCCATAGGTTTTGATTTACTTAATTTTTTTATTCATTCAATTGCTAATTTTTTATGAACCTTTCTTCCCAGAAGTTTATTATTTTAATAAAATTAAATACGACATAACATTTAAAATTTTTAAAATAAAAAAATAATAAAATTCATGACAACTTAGGTTCTAGATTGATAGCTTTCAGTCATTCGAGCCCCATACTGACACATTTCATCTTTCAGGTCCGCATTGATAGCTCATCTATTTTTCAGATCCTAAATTGATAAAATTCTCTATACTGAAATGATTTTTTTTACAAAAATATGACTAATATCTACAATAATGTAGTCTCATAGCCTCTTATGTATAAAAATTGAACATAAGTTACTATGACTGAGTTACTACTAGTCTATTATAGTCACTATACTTTGGAGGTCACATTTTTGTAAATACGTAGTAACATTTATTTTAATCATATATGTAATTATTTCTTAAAATTTATTAATTACAAGACATTATCGGTCAATGAGTAAGATTACATGATTAGTTAATAATAATAACAAGTATAAGTTATGTGACAAAATCAACTAATTCCTTTATTTTACATTGCATTAGTTATCCTCACTCCACTATTTTTGTCTCATTTTGTCTTATTTTTCTTTTCCTTTTATGGTGTCAATAAACTAACTTTGATGTACTACTATATAGTTTTAGATTATTTAATTCGATGTTTTAGAATATGTAATTCAATTTTAATTAAGAACTTCTTATATTTACGAAGTTAAAATATCGATTTGTTAAATTGATTTAGCGAAATTAAATAATTCAGTTACATTATGATAGATTTTGTTAATTGGAACATCTAAATATTTATTCTAAATATATATTTTCCAATCAATTTTTTTTAGGTAGAAAAAAAAGGAAAATGAATACTAATAGCTTTCATTGACAGGATCTGAAAAGCCTTTGGTGGGTGTCCAAAAATGATCAAAAAACGTTAAATTTGTGCTTCTTTAGTCCATTTGAAACCTTAGTATCCAAAATAAGATTCACATGTAACCATAGTGTCTAATTTGGTCCATTTGAAACCTTAGTGTCAAATATGATATTCACGTATAACAATAGTGTCCAATTTGGTCCATTTGAAACCTTAGTGTCAAATATGATATTCACGTATAACAATAGTGTCCAATTTGTTTTTTGAAAAACAATAACTTAATTATTATTGATGAGGGTAACCAGAAACATAACAATCAAAAGCCGAAGCATTACAATCACAGCGTTCAATGCTACACTAGGGTTAGACTAAAAACAAAAAAGCCATATAAAAACAAAAAAAGCCATATAAAAGCTATTGTTTTTCAAAAAAAAAAAAACAATAGTGTCCAATTTGATCCTTGTCGCTTTTTAAAATCACCTTTCCTGGGTTCACATTTCCTATTTCACGCTTCTGTGCTACCTAGGTTGGTATTATCAAAGTGTTTTCTAAAGTATGCATTGTTATTGGTTTATGTATTACTCCATCCATGCCTTATAATTTTACCATCTTTCCTTTTTTAGTTATACCAAATACTTTTACACTTTTCCTTTAAGCTACTAATTTGTGGTTCCTATTATTTCTATGTCTTCTGCGTAATCTTAACTACACAGTTTTTTATTTATTATTCAACGTACCATGAGTAGTTAATGTTATTTTCCATATTTTTAATTACAAGAACCATGCTTCAGGGAATTGGGAGCTTGTTGGATCCAAATCTTTGAGGTCACTTAAGGGCTTAAGGCACACATTTCAAAAAGGAATTATTGATTCCTTGACTTACATGAAAGGAAGATCTTCAGAGTCACTAGCCATCTGAACTAGAAGAGGAGGTTTTCCCTTATCATTGGCTTTTAAAAAAAGATGTCTTCCTGTTCTTCCAAGCATCCATGAAGCACGCGATGCAAATTTCTCCATAGGGTAAAGCCCACAGAAGGCAGGGACCTGGATGGCAAAAATGTAAAGAAGATAGCAAAACAGAACACAATAATAACTTTATAGAGGTTAACAAAAAATATAGACTGCAAATGACCTGTTTGTGTCCCCTTGAGCCAAGATGAGGTGTTGCAATGGTTATGAAATTCATAGGTTCTAGTCCAGCAATGTTACCTTTCGGTAAATCTTGAGAGCAAGAATCACTATTAGATGCATTTATTATTGCACCATCACCATTGGGCTTTTCTGTACAACCTTGACTGTATAACTTGGCAATGGCATATCTTGATATCAGACCACCAAGTGAGTGACCAATAAAAGAAATCCTTTTAAGGTCCGGGTAACGTTGTTTTACAGAAATGACCTAGGGGACATAAATTAGGGAACAAATTGATCATTTTCTGTTATATATTATCCCACATTGGTTCAAATGTTCAATATGAAATAATAAACAAATACTCCGTATAAATTTTTGACTACTCTACTTATTAGTTATTAAGTTAAACTTTTAAAATCAAAATGCAAAGTATTGAAATGGCATCTGAGTTTGGTTGGATTGATGTCCAATTTAGTTATTCAGCAACAATAATTTGAGTAGCCCATTAACCCATTTAGACATGTTTGGCCAATTTAGGATGGACGTCCAAGTATCAACGAGATACGAGAATATCAATTCATTGTAAAACACATTATTCGGTCACGAATCAAGTCAATAATACTCTCTCATACCCACAGTCAAGTTTCCGCTTTCCTCATTCTATTGCCCAAAATAAAGTTCTCATCTTAACAAAAGAACAAACTTTAATAGGCAATTGTCAATAAAAGTATTAACTTTTTTTTAATTTTTTGCTCTCTTTTCCATAAAGTAAGGTTTACTTGAAAGTTAAAACAAATTTTTCTTACATGAATATGTGTAAGTCACATGAAGGAGGGGGTGTAAAATAAAATCTAAAGAAAAAACCTGCCACAGATTGCATTTGGAGAAAAGTGAGCACTTTACTCACCTCATCAGCCAACCTCGTCCCAGTTACATCAATTCCATCAAATGTCAATGTTACAGAATTTGATTTACTGCCTGGAATAATAGCATATTAAGTGGATGATTTTAAATTAGCACAAGGATCACATAGACTCTAACTAATTTAGAAAATTAAAACATACATATAGGGAAACTTGAAACTAAAAGTGACCTTTAAACTAAAGGACAGTTCCCCAAAATGGACATATATTCCCCCTTGTTTTCTCATTGTATGAGATATGGGCTTAACAGAAAGAGACATACCCTCTGTTTGGAGGAAAGCTTATGAAGGGGGGAACTTCATAAGATTAACATAATACATAGTATGTAACAATATAGTATATCAAGATAAGGGTTAAACCCTCCATCCAAACAACACCTAAGTTCCACAAATTCAATGATCTCTTTTTTCTTCTTTCTTTGTTATGAAATAAGATTTTGTTTTGTTCAGGGATCTGTTCTTATGTAAGAACGCTGAATCATCAACTATTCTAATCAGCTTGAATTTCAGTGACAACCACAACTTCAAATCAGTAAATAATAAATATAAACTTCCATAAATGCACCAATACGATCTTGCATGAGAATAATCCAACAAAACTCATTGAGTTTACTTAGGCTGTGTTTGGGTCCTGGAAAATGCAAGGGAAATAAATGAAAATTCTAAGGAAAGTTATTTTCTTATTGTTTGGTTTAGCTCGGGAAGCATAAGAAAAACGAAGTACTCCCTATAACTTTTTACATTCATTTAGATAGTTTAGTATTTGTACAAGCAAATGAATACATGTGAATCTAAAAAACTATTATCAAATGAATTTGAACTAATTGTAATACTCGTAATAAACTTAATGATGACCTTCAGCCAAATTTTCACTTTCCTCAATATTTTGGCCACAACAAAAGATATCAACTTCATTACTATGGAGTATAATCTTTCCCCATTTTCCCTGTTCCAAACAGAGCCCTAACAATAAGCACAGACAAGTAGTATGAATCATCGAGCTTACAGTGAACAATGACATCCCTTGGATAGGTCTTCACAAATTGCTTTGCTGGAAATATCCAATTAGCAGCACTGCAGGAGAACAAGACACACATTTATACATAGTAATATAATATACAAAAAACCACTCAAAGTTCAAAACTTTTTTTACCAATAATATAAACAAAAATTAAAACACTTTAATCTCCAACCAAAGAATCTTATTAAGTGCGGAGTAATTACTTTACTTTAAAAGGTGTGTACGGATGTACCTGCCTATAATGCCATTGACCATAACAACCAGGTGAGTCGGTCGGTGATCTATTCCGGCAGCCTCCACATCGAAGCCTCCACCGCCGCTCGGCCGCTCTTCCGTCGGCACCTCGTCTTCCAATCTCATACACGGGAAGAGAAAAGACAAGTTCTTGAACCTTCTTTTCTTCTTGATACCCAAACTGCTCTTCTTCTTATCTTCATCCATACCCATCTCAGATTTTGCCTCTTTGTTGTTAAAGTCTGATTCACTCTCCATTTCCAGCGAACCCATTTCAGAAAAAAGAAAACTGATTACAGAACATACAGCTCCTCTGGCTCAAAACCCAGAGAGGTTTTCCATTTTTATGGATGGCTAGCTAGTCTGCTCTAACCAATGACCTTTCTACTGCTTTGAAGTTTCGAAGAAGAAAGAAAGAGTCGAGATTCAGAATTGCTTAAAGATGGTGCTTCTTTCTTTGGGCATGTGCAGTAAAAGCTCTGAAAATATGTTCGCCACATCATATGTGAACTTATAGTGGCAGTGGTTCCTAGCTTCATATACAGTTGAACGGTGACAACTGAATAAATGAAACGCCGTTAATATCGGACGGAGTCAACTTTTTTTGTTTGCTTTCTAGAAAGAAGAAAAACTCAGAAAGACTTGTTACAGTGACAGCTTACCTTGGTTGGTCTAAGAATGAGTTTGTTGAGACAAGAAAACTACTTATTTGAGTTAATTACTAATTGGTGGCAAATTATACGTACAATCGGAGTACAATTTGGAGCGGGGTGAGACATTTAGAGTTAATATTGGGGCTTGGGGTCACTCATATTAGCAAAATGGGTTGAATCTATTTAAATTGATAAAGTTTTGGTTGAATTGACTTAATTATGAAAAAGTTATATGTAAAATATATTTTATTAATAAAATTAAAAATTCATCAAACCAAAAAAAATTAAAAAATATATTATATGAAAATAATTGAAATGGTCTTTTAAATTAATTTCAATCATAAACATAACTTTAATCTTACTTATTTTGATTATTACATAATTTGTTTATGACGTAAAAAGGGAATGAGTTAAAGACTTTTAATCTGAAATAAAGACGAATTACCTAAAACTTTATAAAATATGAAAAAGTGACTAGTCTTCTTTTTTTATTTTTTAGAAAAAACATGATGACTAACATTTTGTTTAATTAATTAGTCTTTTTTCATTGCAATTTATATAAAATCTCTTTCCCAACCCCCAAACCTGCCCAGCCCCGACCAGATCTGCATCCGGAAAATTCACCGGAAACTATTGTTAGAAAATTTTCAGGAACTCTTTTATAATTTTTTCTTCACATTTTGTTTTTTTAGGAAATTGCCATAAAAAGTCACCGAAGTTTTGTTCCGGCAATCATGGTGACATGTTTCACAATGATAGTGACATCTTTAATCATCATCATCATCATCACCCCAGCGCTGCAAAGGCCCCCACCCACGGTGAGGTAAGGGGTGTCTCGGATGTACGCAGTCTTACCCTTGTACTAAAGCACAAAAACTGTTCTCGAATGACCCAAAGTGAAAATCACGTCGAAAATTGCATAGAATGACCGCTGTTTCCTAACAAAGAAAAACATACAGTTCAGTGAGCCATATTGCTTTATTTAATCATATTCTTAATCCGAAAAATAACAACTCTTTGGCTCCATCGCAAATGACGGAAATAATCTTAATTTGATTATTTGCTATCATTTTTTGACATGTTAAATGACTCGATTTATAGCCAAAGCATGCCTTCATATTATTTTTGTTAATATAGTTAAAATTTATTTTCAAAATATGTACGAAGTATTATTATTATTATTATCTTATGTGGGATTGTTAATACATAGTACTCCGTGCTATTTAAATTATTTACCAAAAATATAAATATATTTTAATTTTTTTGTCTGAAATATCTATGTATAAAAATCCAACTTAATTTTTTCACACAGAAATGTATGTTTTTTAAAATTTAAAATAAACTTATTTATAATAACAAAAATAAGATACCAATTACCATATGTAAGACTAAGGATGTTTTTACTTGGACTGTAATTTGTTCCAGACCAAACCAGACCAGTCCAGACCAGACCAGACCAGACCAGTTCAGACCAGACCAAACCAGACTTGGATAGTTATAAAAATACAAAGAAACCAGACCTTACTAGACCAGACCAGTTCAGACCAGACCAGACCAGACCAGACCAAATCAGACAAGACCAGACCAGACCAGAACAACAAGTTATAGTCCAACTAAAAACATCCTAAAGGAAAAAAGGATTGATAGAATGAATACGCTATATCCGTATTAACAGTGAATATTTGCTTATTGATGTAACTAGGCTGTGACATATTGCCTAAAATTTTTTTAGTTGTAATGTTTCCATTTTCCCCAATGATTATGCATATATGAGAGGAGTTCAAGAATATTTATAAAAAATTACATTTCTAATATTTTAATAAATAACATTTAGTCAAAGTACTAGAACATTGGAATATTGCAAAGTTTAACATATTGACTGTTGGACTTATTTAAAAACTGAGGAAGTAAGTACTAGTATATCAATTTCCCTTTGGGACCATTTTAAAGTAATTGTCTCACTTCCTCTTTGGACCCTACAAATTAACACATTTTAAAGTGAACCCAACGGACCTAACAGTTATTTAGGAACGAAGGAGGCACCGAGGCAGCATGCTATTAGAAAGTCAGATTACTGTATCAACATTTATCTAATGTCTCCAACTTACCTAAAGGTCATAGACAGTAATGAGTGAATTTTCTCCATTTTATAAATGCTTATAGACTTTCAACTAGTATAGTACCCGTGCATACGCACGGGAAAAGCAGTTGATGCATGTAATCAAATATTAAAATAGAATAATTATTCAAAATAATTATTAGGAAAAATTGAAAATAATAATCCCAACTATTGCCGGTCCGCTGAAAATAATCTCAACTATTGATTATTTTTGTATAATCCCAACTATATAGACTATCCGCCAATAATGGTCCATGACCATATATTACCTCTATAAAAAGTGAATTTTAAATAGAAATTAAGCGTAAAAATTAAAAGTTGAGATTATTTAGAGGGATTACTTGTTATATCTCACCCCATCCACTTTAGAAACTACAAGAATTTATTCATAGGGACCATTATTGGCGGAAGGTCCCTAAAGTTGGGATTATTCTGTAATAATCAATAGTTGGGATTATTATGAGCGGACCGCCAATAGTTGGGATTATTACTATCAATTTTTCCTAATTATTAAGATATATTTGCACGAATAATGGAGGATAGTATCTAAAACCACTACTTATGAGATAAAAAAAATGTTTCCCTCACTTATTAGTCCGCTTATTTTATACGGAGTACTTAAAAATATACAAATGAGAGAAAGTTATCCCGTTCAGTTATTACTTCATTTATCTTCTTATACCTAAAAGCATTAGTATGAGAGAGAAAAATTTCCCGCTCAATTATTAGTCCGCCCATCTTATTTTATTTTATACTTGAAAATACAACATATGAGAGAGAAAATTCTTTCGTTAAATTATTTGTTTGTTTTTCTTATGCCTACAACTCAAAAAGTAATACATATGAGAGAGAAACTTCTCACGCTCATTTATCAGTACGTTTATCTTATATCTACATATGAGAGAAAAATACTCAATCACTTATTAGTACGCTTATCTTATACCTCAAACTACTACATATGAGATTAAAAAAATTCTCCCACTCATTTATTATCCCGCTTATCTTCTTATACCTAAAACATTATATATCAGAGAGAAATTTCCCCGCTCAGTTATTAGTTCGTTTATCTTCTTATACCTAAAACACTACGTATGAAAAGAAAAAAATTCCACTCAATTATTTGCTTGTTTATCTTATTTAATACGGAGTACCTAAAAACATCACATATAAGAGAGAAAATCATTGTACTCAATTATTAGTTCACATATATTTATTTATTATACATAAAAGCCCTACAGATGACTCATATGAGAGAAAAAACTTTGTCGCTCACTTATTAGTCCGCCTATCTTCTTATACTTAAAATCACTACATATGAGAGATAAAATTATCCCGCTCAATTATTAGTCCGCTTAGCATATAAGGGAGAGGTTTTATTTTATTAGCACTCCATGTAATTACCATTTTCATTTGCTAAATTACAAAAGTCGTAGAATCTAAAATCTTTAAAATAATATTCCCTCCGTATTTTTTTGTTACAATAGGTGTTGTCACATTTTTTAAGAGTGAAATAGTAGTAGTATTGAATAGTTTAAAAAAGTAGGAGAGGTGGTGAAAAAATATGAAAGAGAAGATAAAAAGTAGAAAAAGTAAGGGTAGTTGAGTATCTGTAAAGGAAAAACATACCAAAAAGGGAAAGTGTAGCAAATTTTTGAATACATCCAAAAAAAGAAAGTGTAGCAAACAAAAATTACAGAGGGAATATTAGATTTATTAATTGTAGGGTTGTTAAATTATTTTATTTTATTCTATTTTAAAATAAATATATAGGCCTTTTCTGCCACATCAGCTACCTCCCAGCACCACCAGCTTCGACCACTGAAAAATGCAATCATTCATGAGTACGTAACACCATATTGATTAACGTTCTCAGAGCTAAAATAGATATTTTCAAACAGTAATGATGTCATCTTCACGATATTTTCAAAGGAAACATGACATTTTTACATAAGATAATATTTTTTACATCGATCGGAGGTGGCGATGATGGGAGGTGGCCGGTTGAGGCTGCAGGAAAGGTCTCCATATTTAATTAATTAATTAATTTATTTATTTATTTCAAATTTATTATAAATTAAAGTATATTTACTATTTTATGTTTTTATTACAAATAAAAACCAAAGATAGATTTCGACCAAGAGTAAATTGAGCGTATTTGATAACCCCAAAGAGACTAAGTTTGTTGAAATTGATAAATTTTGCGTGGACAGGCTGAATTTACTGAATTTGCTAAATTATGGGGAAAGAGTATTTAAAATATACCATCATACTACCTCTGTCCTTAGTACAATGGTAAGGCTATGTACATCTGACCCCTCATATTTGACTTTCTTCGTAAAAAATAATAAACTTTAATACATTATTTTAACTAATATATATATGTGAGACTTAAAAAAATATATACTTTTATGATAATATTTTTAAACACTAAAAAATGCATACGCACGGGAAAACCCCGTTGATCCATATATACTTTTATTCACGTCCAATTAAATTTAAAAAAATAGATTTTTTTTTCAATTTTACATCATTTCAAAAATGAAGTAGAATATAAAAAAGGTATAAATCCATACAACAAATATTCAAAGTAAAAGAAAATTAAAATATAAAAAATACGACACCATCCATTAGAATTTGCTACGTGATTATAATTAGAAATGTTAGTCACAGATATAGAAATATTGAACTTACTTGTTAGAGTTTTAAAAACTACTTTAAAGGCAC